CCCTCGCGGACGACTGCCGCACACAAAACACAAAATAAAATCCAGGCCTGGTCCTCTTTCGTCCAACACTGTCGTCACTCCTCCTTTTATCCTTCCGGAGCTCCTCCGTGGGACTTGAGACCGGTGAGTGGCGCAGGTGTCGCGCATTAGCATTTACTCCACCGGCCCGATCACAGCGGCCGCGGCGTACCTGGGGGTAAGGACAGACAGACAAGGTGAGAGCAAAGGAGACGGAAGGATGAGGAGAGACAAAAAAAAAAATCTTGTTCCGGTTCCCAGACACACTACCGCTCGGCCCTCCACCAGCTGGGTAAACTCTTCCGCGATGCCAGGCAGCGGCACTGGACAGCCCTCAGTGGACGGCGGCGGCTCCTCCAGGTTTGGGCAGCCGGCAGGAGTCCCCCATTCCCTGCTCCTCCCCGGATGGCAGCAGGCGAACAGCCTCAGGCGAACGGCGGCGACTCCTCCGCTCCCTCACGGACGGCAGCCGTCCCTCCACAGCGGCTGGCAGCGAGTTCGTCCGCCCCCCCCCGGCAACTCACTCCAGCCCACCGCCTCGAGCCTCCATGGTGGCAGACTGCTCCTCCATGCATGATGACACCGCGGACTCACCACAGCGGCGAGGGATCTCTGGCAGCGTGTCCCTCGTTCCTCCCGGGTTTCGGCACCAATGTACCACAGTTCGTAGTCACGGGAAGAAGGAGGCAGGAACCAGCGAACATTTAAAGACTTTAATAAAATAAACAAACACAAAATGAAAGTAAAGCGGCAGCCCCTCGCGGACGACTGCTGCACACAAAACACAAAATAGAATCCAGGCCTGGTCCTCTCTCGTTCAATAATGTGATATTGGACGTTGCGTTTTGGATTGCATTCTTGCTTGAACAGCATATTTGTTGTGGTTTGTAGAAAAATGTCAAGAATTTTTCACAGCTCTGTCGATCTGACACATAATTTGAGGTTCAGCATTCTTGGCTACTCAAAACCTACTGAGAAAATCCCCTTACTAGTAATACAACCCTCTATGAAGCTTTTTCATATATCTCTTTATTTCCAGCAATATTATGAAGTGCCAATTGCGATGAAGGCTGTGTTTGATTATATCGACACGTTTTCATCACGCATCAGAGAGATGGAACAACAGAAACGTGATGGGGTGACATGTAAAAAAGAAGACAAGCCAAGATCATTGGAGAACTTCCTTTCCAGGTATTTTCCATTGAAATGGTGCTGTGATTTGCTGGGAATCTTATAAGCAATCTATTGTTCTAATAACTTTGGGCTACTCGATTTTAGGTTCCGCTGGAGACGCAGGTTATTTGTCATATCTGCACCAAATGATGAGGAATGGGCCTATCAGCAACAGCTCTATGCACTGACCAGTCAAGCGTGCAACCTGGGTAAGAATAATAATAACTACACCTTCAGATGTCACTGATGGCACATAAATGCACATTGCATTATTGGGTAGGACTCTGCCCATATGTATATATAAATATATATATATATATTATATTATATAGCTTTGCATAGAGTAGGTGAACCCTATTGACATTCAAATATTATATTTATAAGTCATTGTTTGCCAGCCAATTCCATACCTGTTGGTCTAAGTGTTGACCCCATCCAGTGACCTTATGGTCAAATTTCACATGAAATGCCTGTGGAAATCATAAAGAGATGTTCCTAGTTGTGAATAAACTAGTGAATAGCAATTTAAAAGGCTACAGAATTCACATTTGATGTATGACTGTGTAATTTATGTTGTAGAACAAAATGTGAAAGTCTCCTGAAATAATGTTTACCACGTGCCTTAATTTACTCATAAACTGTAAACTGCTATTCCAAAAAACGTTCAGAAATGACCAGAGAGAGCTCTTAGAAAATTAGCTTACGAACTGACGTCACAACTTTACTCAGTTCTATAAAAAATAATTATTATTATGTGGCAAACTGGCTTTCTTCTCCATTTAAACTGACATCAGTTACCACAGCGGATTTGAATTTGGCTGTCAATTCAAACTTAAATGACTTGAGAAACAGCTTTGTTTATTAATACATCCCCCACATATTCCATTAACAACCATCTGTAAGCCACAATCATGCGCTTAAATGGCCTAAATGTCAACAGGGGAACATTTCAGGGTGGCATTCAAATTTGAGAAAAATTGTTTGTGTGTTGGTGGATTTGCAGGTCTTCGCCATGTATCAGTACTGAAGTTGGTGGGGACAGAGCTGATGGACATGGGAGGAGTGTTGGAGCTTTACCCCATCAATGGTAAGACCACTGCTGCTGAAACACTAGCAAAAAAGCTACACTTCTGGGAAGTGAGACTTACCAGTAAACTCCTAAAATGTTGTCTAGACTTTGAGGTGCGAGACAACCTTTTAACAGATATGTAAACACTTGTAGCAATGGTTTAAAAAGCAGTTGAAATATCAGCTGACTCAGATGCTTGCTTATTGGGGTCTTAGTAAACATATTAAGCAATTTTCACTTGTAGTAGACAAATTCTTGAAGTCTATTTGAAAATATGCAAGCATACCTGTAACTCTCACAGCAACCAGGTGTTTAGTTAGTGCATTAAGGGTTAATCAGCACATTAGATGAGTGCGGTGGTGTTGACATTGGCTGCTTTTTTTTCTGTCAGTCAAAAGCAGCCAGTATCCTCTGGTTTCAGGCCCCTCCATGCATGAGTCAGCCTCTCCAGCTCCGGACAGGCTCAGAAATGACCAAACCGTTCCCACAGGAATAATATTTTGAAGGACAGAAATGAAGAAGGGCTCAGGTGTTTACATATTTTCCATCATTGTTGAAACTTCAGACAGCTTTGGGTTCACTGGCACTGAGGCTTCTGTGTGTTTTGAAAGGCTGCATCAGCAGTCTGTCTGATAAATTAAGATCAAAAAGTGATTCTATAAGCTGTATTTAGAGTGCTAACATTGATGTCTTCGTAGGCAGGACTCATATGTAAGATGAAAGCAAAGTCAGTATCTGATGAAACATGTTGGCTTTATAAAAATAAATCTGGTTTCTATGAAAATGTTCTGTCTGTCAGAGATTTATGTAATACTATTTATGTTAAAAAGCCCTTTATTTAAAATCAGATGTGCGTATATGTGTTTTTCTAAAGGAAAGAAAGATGGTAGACCGATAGACCAAAAGATTTTTATTTAATTATGTATTGATTTATTTATTTTGACAGTTCAAGAAGCCATATTTTTCAGTGGTATATAGTACCACTACAGTAACCACCACTGATTTGGTGGACATTATTATTTAATCAATATTGAAATGCTTTGTGCGGTTAATAATAATTTGTGAAAAAAGACACTATATTGTACAATTTTATAAGACAATTATATTTTTGTTCAGCAAGGGTGCATTATATTGATCAAAAGTGACAGTAAAATAATTTGTAATGTTACAAAATATTTTTTTAATAAATGCTGTTCTTTGGAACTTTCTATTCATCAAACAATTCTGAAAAAAATGTATCACCGTTTCCAAAAAATATCAAGCACTGCAACTATTTTCAACATTGGTAATAAGAAATGTTTCTTGAGCAAAAAGCAAAACAAAACCCAGCATATTAGAATTATTTCTGAATAAATTCTACTTTATAAAAAAGTGTTTTTAATTAATAATATTTTACAATATTTGTTTTACTGTATTTTTTACAAACATTAAAAAAAATCTCACTGACCCCTAACTTTTGAACAGTAATTCATACGCTATATACTAACTTTAAGCTTGACAAGGTCAGTATAAGTGGAAACAAAATTAAATGCTTTAAGAAAAACTCCCTTAAATATATAATGGCAGAAGATTCAACAGAGTTGAAAAGAGGACAAAAACTAATTCTGTATTCTCTTAGAAAGTGCGTAAAAATAAAACTGGACCGTAAAAGCATGATTTTTTTTTATTTCAGTAAAAACAATTAGGTATAATTATGTTTTATATAACATTAAATTGCAATGATGATGAATGGTGACATGCACATTGGCTAAAACAAACCTTTTCAAATAAAATGTTTTTGCATTATACACTGAACTCAAATCTATCAAATAATCTGAAGTTCAGTATCCTATTAATCACTGGTAAGTCATTTGTGGTGAACAAATGGCACAATTTTCACCATATGTTGTTTATATGCAGCTGCACGACTGTTTCTGACGCCCACATTTATGCATTTCAGGAAGTGCGACAGTAGAACGTGAGGGCATATCCGCCACTCTAGTGAGGGACATTAGAAACTACTTCCAGATCAGCCCTGAGTATTTCTCTATGCTGCTGGTGGGAAAAGACGGAAATGTCAAGTCCTGGTACCCGTCCCCCATGTGGTCAATGGCCATCATCTATGACTTGATTGACTCCATGCAGCTTCGCAGACAGGAAATGGCCATCCAGCAGTCTCTAGGCATGCGCTGCCCAGAAGATGAGTACGGTGGCTATGGCTACCCCCATGGCTATCATGAGGGTTACCAGGATGGCTATCATTAGGGGTATGGTTATTAGTGTTTACACTTTGTAAGGCAGTGTCAGGTAGGAGATAACTGAAAACTTCCCTTTTAACTGGTTTTATATTTATCGTATAGAGCTATTAATTTTTAAAGATGCATCTCCTCTGCTATACATCTGTCAAAACATTTGTATTTATTAGATGTCTTCTCTATTCGAAGTGATCGTTTTTAAAGGTCACAACCTGCTTTTTCTTGTTGAACTGTTTTGATATTGTTACTCTATGTTTAAAGAGCACTGTCGCTGTATGTCTTATTTATAAACATATAAATTGTGCTTTAATTTCAATAAAAATATATTGCTATCATGCCTTTGGATATAATAAGTTCCAAACATTGCAAGTCAACTTTGTTTTTAGATGAACTGTAAGTGCTTACAGTATGTGATCCTTGAGATTTTTCCTCCCTTATTTTATGAAGGCACTGTGTTGATACAGCCTAAACATTTCAAATAGCTGCTTAAGCAATGTCAAATTATGTAGTTTGACTTTTTCTTTGCTTTGTCTCCTTCTGCTGGCCAGTAATATATTGGCAGTTGCTTAAGAATTTAAATAAAAACTATACATATTTCAGCATATAGTATTAAAAAGTGGATTTTATTATTGCAGAAATCCAAGTATTTTTCTAAGATCATTTGTCAACATATACGACATGTGCATGCACAATAGTACATTAAAAACAAGCTCCTCTTACCTTAATACCTGCACTCTCACTTTCTGTCCTTCAGTCAACTACTGTATGAAGGAACCAAGAATAGTTCAAACAATGAAAATGAACATAATACTTTCACAAACCCTCCTGAGTTTGATACATGCTCATAATTTTTTACACAGTTTGTAAGAGAAAAAAATGAACAACTCTTTGATCCCTTTGCATGTCACGCAGACATTCCATGTGACTGAAACAATCATCATTCATTATAATACATATACATCATAGATACACAGGCTGATTCCAGAATATTTACATGATAATTAGAGAGAGATGGGTTCAAACTGACTCAGAAAGATTCTTCAGATTCACTCTCTGTGTTAGCCTTGGTTAGTCTCTCCAACTCTTCCCCATCCTAAAATAAAAATGTAAGACACAATCATGAATTACTACATACATTCTTTTCAGACCACCGTAGTTGTACAGAAAAACAGGACACCTTTTAGTGACTTTATAGATATATCTTTATAGACAAATAATAGATGGTGCTATCCAATGAAGGTCCCTGAAATTATTGTAGGGGCCGTTCATACTGAACACGTCCTTGCATTTTAAAAATGTGAGAGGCAGCAGAATGGAAAAGAATGCAGACCATCAAAACGTTGATAAAAGCATTTTTAAAAGTTTAAAAAGTAGTGCTTAAGCAAGACCCTGAAAGGCAGGGAATAGCGATGGTCCAACGGTCAAATACATTGCTTCAGATAAAAACTCTCAAATGTATTCAGTGTTGACTCGAAAGTGTACAGAGTAATTACATTTCTAAAAGAAGTTAAGCCAGCACAATGTAATAAAATATGTTTAAGAGATACTGGACTATGGCATGAGGAGCATATCAGTGGATCTTCATTTGATACTAAGAACTTGTGCGTGATTCTGGATTGTCCTATTCGGCATTAGCTATGTATTTATGATCTGAGATCAGATTACTGCGATTATTTATTAATAAAGATGTGACTTTTACCCACAGTAGGGTTAATTTCATACAGTTTGTTGTACACTCATTCATTTTGCAATTTGTTGATTATGTAAGATACTTTGGTAGTTTTAAGATCTGAGGATGGTATAAAACACTTGAGCAGCAGCGCTGAACGCATGTTCGTATCCTGGGATTCCACAATGTCCCAACAAAACCCAACCCAACCCGAAAATAGATATTAGTTCTGTGTTTCCAGCTCCAGCAGTTTGGATAAGATTTGGATAAGTGCTGGGTGATCAATAAAGGGAAGCAAAACATGACTTTGAATCCGTTATTATTAGGAAATCTTTCTGATATGTAGTCTTTATATGGTCTAATGCTAAAATGATAGTATTGGCTTTAGTGGTAAACCCTAAACTCTGATTGGGAATTCTAATTCCACTTTTATGATGATTAAGGACAAATGCAGCTGATATTGGTTCTCCAGACTTTGATCCATCTGTATATATAGGTATGTATAAAATAAGATTTTACAAAGAAGTTAAAGTTTAAGTTTAATTTATTTATAGAAAACATTTAAAACAACCTTGGTTGATCAAAGTGCTGTACAAAATTGCATAGGTCCATCACCGAAATTAAAATAGACAATCACAAGACGTTAAAAGCACAGGAGTGCAAATAGGTTTTTAAAAGACTTAAACTCAGGCACAGTGAGCAGACGGGCAGCTGCGATTTGGACCAATTGAAGTCTATGAATAGATGAGACAGGCAGCCCATGATACAGCGAGTTGCAATAATCAAGCCGTGATGAAATAAAATTATGGATTACAATCTCAAAACTCTTCCTACTTAAGAAGGGTTTAACTTTGGCTAGTCTTCGAAGGTGATAAAAGCTGGAGCTGACAACAGTTGATTTGTTTGTTCAGCTTTAGGTTACTATCCAGAATAAAACCCAGATCCTTGACATCAAGTGACTGATATAGAGTGAGAGAACCCAAGTCAATAGCACTCAGATCAGTTTTCTCAGTAGGCCCAAAAAGAACAATTTGTGTTTTGTAATCGTTCAGATGTAGAAAATTATTGGTTATCCATGTTTTCAATTCCTGGAGCAGGCTATTAATTGATTTATGGCAACCCTGTCGTTGTGCACAAATGGTATGTAAAGCTGAGTATCATCAGCGTAGCAATGAAACGACTCACCAATTCTCCTTTAATATAGAACCAATGGGTAACATCTACAGTGAAAACAGGAACAGTGCCAAAGTTGAACCCTGAGGAACACCACATGTAACATGCCCTACAGTAGAAGAGTGTTTTCCTATATTTACTGAGAATCTTCTATTGGACAGAAAGGACCAAAACCAGCCGAAACCAGTCGAGTACAGCGCCTCTAACCCCAATTCAGCACTTCAGGCGAGACAGCAAAGAGACCATGGTCAACAAAATCAAATGCAGAGCTGAGATCTAACAGCACTAAAGCCATAGTATTACCAGCTTCGGTAGACATTAAAATGTCATTAAAAACTTTCAAAAACTTGTGTCGAGGTTTAAAATCTGACTGAAAAATATCAGAAATACAAAGTGAACTTCTTTCCCATTCTGCTGCGTCTCACAAGAATGAGTTCTATAAGAAGTGACAACATGCCACTAATGGAATTGCCTGCCGTATAATATATTTGATCTAAATAATGCAGTAATCCAAGGTAGGGCTTTGCGCCTCCAAAATGTGTTTTCATTATAAGGAATTCAGGTTTCTTACTCATTCTTACTTAATTGGATTATAGTTTGCCAGATGTCCTCTACAAAGAGCTCCTTATTTAAACTCAGAGTGTACTTCAAAAATGAAGGTGGAAACGAATAACTCAAATGAAATAAATGATCAGCTGAGATGCAAAGTGACCATCCTTTTAAAATGAGGCAAGTCTATATTTGACTCTTACCCCTCTCGACCTCTCAAACACCTCGCCATTGATGACCCTGAGCCTCTCCTGCTGTAGTGCGTACTCTGGATCCTTCAGTTTGCTGCTATGGTAGATAAAAATGGCTAGCAGTACTACAGGTGCCTTCAGGAAGAAATCCATTGATGGATGAAAGTCAAACAGGAAGAGAGAGAGCGCAGTGACGATGACCGTGGTGATCTGGCCCGTAAGCACATGGAACATGTTATCGCGGAACTTGAGAATGAAGGCCACCGACAGGCCTAGGGCAGCTGTGATGAAAACCAGTGCGATGGAGAAGATGTTGTGTCCATAGAGGAGGCCGCAGTGTAGCGTCAGGTCACGGTAGTCAGAGTGCAGGAGAAGCGTGAGGCTGTTGAAGATCAAACCGAACATGTACAGCTTGCTGTTTTGGATGAAGATGCTCTCCATCTGCTCCCCCTCCTTGAGGATCTTCTCACTGTAGATGTTGGCCAGTGCAGAGATGAAGCATTGCAGCAGCAGTAGGATGTAACCCAGACCGAAGCTGTTCAGCCCGTGTATGAGCTGGCTGTCCCACATCTCACGTTTCCAGTATGTTTCATTATGGTTCTGATGCTCTGGCTTGGGATGGGCGTATTTTAAGCAGCTGTTAGAAGGGGTGGAAATGTGGACTGGGTGGAGGCCATGTACAGCAATGGCATGATGGTCACCACTGCCAGTGGTCAATGACACAATGGACAGGAACAAAATGATCAATGATGCCCACTGCACCCAAGACAAGCGCCTCCTGCAGGTCAAAAGATGGAAAGTCAGTAACAGACAAAAATATAATGATAGAAAACAGATATCAAGAAATGTCAGTACTTACTTTAGAACAACTCGGAAGAGAATGGCTGTTGTCAAAATAACAATGTTGGAAAACAATACTGCCATGGCCTATTAAAACATGAGAAAAATATGAATGTTATAGTTTATACATTTGGGGTCAGTAAAGTAGCCTGACAATTTTTTATAATTTAATAATTGTACTCTGAAGGTTGATCAAAAGTGATAATAAATGCATTTATAATGTTACAAAAGATTTCTATTTTAAATAAATGAACTTTCTAATCATCAAAGAATGTATTATGGTTCCCACAAAAATATTAAGCAGCACAACTGTTTTGAACATTCAAAATATGATAATATGATCAAATGTTTACTGAGCAACAAATCAGAATATTATAATGATTTCTGAAGGATCATATGACGCTGAAGAAATTCAGCTTTGCTATCATTAATAAAAAAATAAAAATATATTAAAATAAAATAATGTTATTTTAAACTGTGATAATATTTCACAATATTACTGTTTTTACTGTATTTTTTATCAAATAAATGCAAAATATAAACTTCTATAAAAAGCATTAAAAATCTTGCAGATCCCAATTCATTGAAAGGTAGTTTATAAATATATCTATTTAATATAGAAATTGAATTACTCTAATTGTAAGAAAAATGATTATTTTTATATAAAGTATTAAATGCAAAGAGTTATTTTTCTTCTAATATTTATCCATAACTTTAAATAATTCAACGTACAGGTTGCAGATAGGTCATCACATAGAAGATTATGAGGTTATCGAGGAAGTAGAGGAATGCAGGAACAGACCATTTCAGGTAGTTGAGAAAAGAGGCACCAGATGAACACCCCAAATCTTTATAAGAGCGGCCCTCTGGAAAACAAAAGCAATAGTTTTCGTCCCATAACAAACAACATGTACTACTAACATATATCACAATTCAACAGGCTGTATATATACACTATCTTAATATGTTTATGAGTATGGTATGAGAATGGAATTTTGAGACAACAAATCTGACTCACCTCGAATGACCACCCGTACTGACATCACTAAACAAAATACTAGTTTGATGGCCTCTGCCATTAAATTCACAGATGCAGGAAGAAAGTCATATTTGTTTTCTGTAGGTAAGAAAAAATTAGTTGCAACAGTTTTTAAAATACAAGTTGCAAAAAGTAAAGTTAACTATTGATTGTATTATGATCATATATTAGGTTGTTCTGTGGTGGCGTAATATTATTTCACCTTCATTGGCCGAGAATTTTAGTAATAGGATGCGACTGATTCCCAAGGTGACAAAACCCAGACCCAGAACCAAAGTGTAGGTGGAAGATCTTGAGCAAAGCCGCGAGCAAGGACAGCAGCAACGGCAAAAAGAAGAGGATGAGGACGGGGCCATTATGGACAAGGTGAGCCTGAGGCTGGTCATAAGAGAACAAACAGGATCACTGAGAAAACATCAGACAATCATATCAATCACAAAACCACCAATGAAAAAAGTATACGTTTTCATGCAATAACAAATCAAATAATTATTTGGTCTCTCCAGCACTTTCACTCATCAAATACTACTTAGTCAAGACGTGTCACTTTCTGTATAGCGCTTTGTTTTCAGCATGATTCACAAGCACAAATGATGAGCCAACCAAGAAAACATGCAGACATGAAGTCATGGAATGATGGATGACTATTGTGTTTTAAGTGTTTACAGACCGTTCAGAATGGAAGGATCATGAACATTGTGTCTTTGTTGTTCTAAATATTACATCTTTCAGTACAGCACTGTTTAAACATCAAACTCCAAAAGGAATAACTATAGATGACTATGGCATAATCTTAGAAATGATCAAAAAATATTCTAAACACATTCAGAATGTAAAACAAACAGATGCTAAATAATATGTAACAACTAGAACGCAAAACAATTATAATATTTACAGTGGTGTGGTTCATCACAATATTGTGGATTCAATTTGGATTGTTCTGGTGTTACCAACGCAATAAAAAAGCAGTGCATCATCCAGTTCAACGACAGGATATTCACATATCATGTGAATGTGGTGATACAGCACAAATAGATTCATATTCGGTGCTTTATTTACCTGCCCATATGCTCTCACTCGAACGAACACCCTGCCCACGGCTTCCGCATCTTTGCGCATGCGTACAACCAAGCTACTAGTGTTGGGTCGTTCTTGAACGATTCGTTCGTTTTGAACGAATCTTTAATGTGACTCGGGAAGAACGAGTCGTCTCGGGGAGTGATTCGTTCAGTCGCGCATGCGCAACATCATATAGGTTCTGTACTGGAATTAGTCAAGTAGTTTGTTTCGAGTCTTCGGGTTTTTCCGAGTCGTTCGTTCATCACGTGACAGCCCCATAAGCCCAAACCCGAAGACTTGTCAGATAAGAGACTGAAGACCCAGGTAAACAATTAATTAATATTTTCTGTTTCTTATTGCAGTTTTGTATTGTTTGTAGTGTGATCAACGTTTGCGTAAGTAGTAGACATGTTAGGGAAGTAACACGTAACATTTTAATTATATTTTGTTAAAATGAACGAAATGACTCGAAAAAAGATTCGTTCATTTTGCTGAACGAGACTCAAAGGTCCGAGTTGGTAAAATGATCCGAACTTCCCATCACTACAAGCTACGTCACCGCTTGGCTGGACTGGGTTCTTCTTCTTCTTCTTCTTCTTTTAGGATTTAATGGCGGTTGGCAAACCAACTTAAAAGGTTTCCTACTGGAAAGGAGTGTGAAGCGCACAATGAATAGGAACTTTAGAAACAAGAGCTACCTTAAAAAAAAACAAATTTTTTAAATAAAAATTACAATTTAATAAATAAAAAAAACCTAACCCCAAACCCGGTATCCTACATCCTATTAATCAATCCTGTTTCCTTTAAATAAATAACGAATTCGCGATATATTCTTGATTGCTTAGATCCATCGCCTAACAAAACCTGGAGTGACAGATCATTTATTTCCAGATACCTTAAAGCTTGACTTAGTTGGAAACGTTCTCTTTCATAAGCCTCACATTCTATAAGTACATATTCTACAGTTTCTGTTAACCCACATTTGTCACAATTTCCTATTCTATGTAAGCACTGATTTAATAAACAATTACCAATACGCATTCTTGCAATTATAACGTCCTCTTTCCTGTTTCCAAATCTTCTTCTCTCTGAACCAACTTTTTCTTGTATGCAGTGTAAATGTTCCTTCTTTCCATTCATTCGGCCATATTTCCTGTATTTCTTTCGCTATTATCGCTTTTATTTCTGTTTTACTTAATGCCACTTCAATGTTTATTTGTGAATGATTTAATGCCTGTTTAGCCAAATGATCAGCCTCCTCATTTCCATTCACACCTATATGTGATGGTACCCACACGAAATTTACCAGAAGTCCATACTGTCCATACTACTCTGCATTACTTCATTTATCATGTCTTGTCTTGCTAATGAATTTCCACTTGACAAACTGTTTAGTGCTGAAAGAGAATCTGTGCATATCACTGCCTTTGTTGGTTGTATTTCTTCTATCCACTGAAGTGCTAGTAAGATTGCTATTAGTTCTGCAGTAAATACAGAAATATGATCTGAAG